GGGGGACCTGCAAACAGGCCCCCCCCCTCCAATGAGCGGGGGGCACGCGGGGTTTCGCCCGAGACGGGTCCGTCACATTGGTGGACGAACGCCCTGGAGGGTGGGGCTGGCGAGCCCCAGGGGCCCGAGGCGACCTCCTTGGCGATCCCAAGCGGGGGCGGTCTGCCGTTTATGGGGAATTTCATGCGGTTTTTACCCTGCGGGCAGATCCGCCTCGTGGCGAAGGAGGTCGCCGTCCATTTCTGGACTACAACGACGATCGATAAAGGGGCGATCGGCTGCATCGTTACGAGCTTCCCGACGGCCCGTCTTTCCTACGCGGAGAGCCCCTGTGAGGACGGTGCCGTTGTGAAGAAGATTCTCGTCCTCGAAACGCACGACGCGGAGGTGTACCGCGCGGGGAGCTCCCGGGTCGTGATTCTCAGTCTGAAAGGCGTCAACCGCGTCGAGTTCTTCACTCGGCAAATAATCAGCGAGACCGGGGTGGACTTCACCCTTGCTCTCGAGCAGACCCACCCGTGGACAGGCAATCCCCATTTCACCGACTTCGAGGACATCTTCGCCCTCTTGCGGTCCTTTACAAACTGTGAGACTGCCAACGTCTTCCACCGCTTCGGTGAGATGGCCGAGGCGGGGGTGGAGGACGATCGACAGGGCGACCGTAACGCGTCAGGGCCGACAAGTTCGCGTGAGACCGAGGGGCTCCCCTCCGAAGAACGCGATGCCAGCGATCCCCGCCAGCTTCGCCCGCTTCGCAGTATGAAATTTTCCCCCCAGATGGCCTTTGGCGGGGACGTTTCTGTGAATATGGAGGTGATCCTGAATTGGCTCGGTATCACCGAGCGAATGCTTCCTAACGTGTTGAACTCACACTTGTGTGATATGCTAGAGCGCATGCTTTATAACCTGGCTAAAATTAACCCCAATCATACTTCGACAGCTTGAGTGAACACGCAGTTCCATATGTGAGAATAAATTGGTAGGAAATGAAGGAAACCGGGGTATGTCTATATGTGTATGTGAGTGGTCGTGTTATATTCAGTCTTTATGCTGTGGGCTTTCCATAGTTTTTTTTTGCCTTTTTGTTGATGTGTAAAACTACTGGTTTTTATTTTCTTGATTGCCTATGGTAACTTATTTTAACAAAAAAAAAAGCAAAGAGCGGAAAAGGGGCGAACCTTGCCCCAGACTTGAGTTGATTAATGGAAATGCTAGCACCAACCGGAAGGCGTGTGTGTGTGTGCGTTTTTGATGGAACTTGGGGCGTTCTATTAATTCTGTGAATGGGTTTCATCTGTTTATTTAAGGGTCTAATGCAAGCCTCGTTACTTCATCATTTTTACTTCCTTTAACCTTCTAAACGTAGAAAACCCGTTTTAACACACGGGGGAGAGCCCTAACATTTTGTCTCTTCCGCTGTTTTCTGTGGAAGAGGCCATTGGGTTTGGCATTTTCGGTGCGGAATCTGAAAAGCGCCTAGGCGATGTTAAGGGCGTCGAGATGGTGGGCAGGGCGTACGCCGCCGGTCATCGGCGGCTCGAAGAGGGCGCGTTTTAGTGGTATAGACGACAATCCCCGGATTACGAGGAAGCCGTGGGATACCTCAGAGCTGCTGATGCTGGATTACGGTTGGGAACGCGGGACTCTGCCCAAATTCAGGGCCCGGAGCCCATACCACAGACAGCAAATTGCCCATCGCATGGTCACCGAGCTTATTCGAAAGGATTACGTGATTGTGGGAGGGGCTCGCGCCCCGGCGCTGCGCATTCTCGCGGATCATGTGGTCGAGCTCGCCAAAGCTGGGGATACGAACTCCCGGCAGCACTTGGCCCACTTCCTGCAGGATCCTTTGATGGTGGACAAGGCATTCGACGAGTATCCGCGGCGGTTTCGCGATATGCACTCCAAGTATGCCATGATGACGCGTTTGAAGGGGCGTCGTCGTGCGGATTGCGTGGCCATGTACTTTGTCGAGTACAAGAATCGCGACCTCAGCGACAATCACAAGGGCGAGGACTACAGTGTCGGGCCGGAGCGGTTTTTCTTGCCCCCGCGCGTGGTGGAGGCGGAAAAGGGGATCCAGCGCCCTCCCCACATGCAGATGGCCTTTGACCGCTGGGCGAGCAAGTTCAAGACGGAGGAATTCCACCACTGGTGGCGACTGCGGCACGCCAAGCTACGGTACTGGGGCGTGCGCAATGTCCCCCACCCCTCCGAGGTGGACCCGCTCTGGACCGAAAAGGACGAGGAGGAATGGCATAGCGAGATGCTATCGCGCACCGCAGATTTTGAGGATATCGATTTGGACAGCGAGGAGTTCGAGGCGTCGGGCGAGGGCTGAGAGACGTCCACGGCAGGTTCCAACGCCTTGAGGAGCCGGAACAGGTCGAAAAGATCGTTGTGGTGGTGGTGAGTTCCTTCCCTAGAAGGAAGAAGAGTATGGTGACGATTTTTATATTCTCCAATTTGGGAAGAACTCTATGAGTTTAACGCGCCGGTCGATTTGGGTGGTAGTTAGCATAGCTCTTAAACCGAACTTCTAATTGTGTATGCACAGAACACGTATCAAATTTTCTTTTCTCCACGTACGCAGCAGTTACTTTTTTTACATTTTATAGAATCACTACATGCTTGGATAATTAATTTCGTGTATATAGGATTTGCTTCGACGAAAATAGGCGATGCGTCGTAAAAAGCAAGATGTGTGCGGAAAGCCCACACAATACAATCTCCAAACGATGGAATACAATTGGAGGGAGCTCCCTAATACTAAAATACAACTCATGAAACAGGAACCGCTTCCCAAACACAATTCTGCCCCTATCCAAACGAATGGTAGTTATACTCGGTATAATAAAACAAAACGTGATGATAGTAGAAGCCCAGAACCCAAGACTCCATCCCATAGAACACCTTTAATCCCAAAGGGTCGTTTCCTAGTTGATATAAATAATCACAAAAGGTTCTCTCACGTGTCTAATAGCTTAGACAAGAGCGAAAAATATTCGGATAATCGAAAGCCCTTAAGTGAAAATAACATTTATCAGATCGCGCAGACTATGGAGTCTGTTCCGAAGCTGCCGAGCTTGTTTCCCTCACGGAAGTCGCCGGAGTTCCAAGAGGGAATGATTACATGTACACAACCATGGTCTCACGATGCCATCTTCCATATGCTCGCAGCCAACCGAACTGAGGCGAAGAGGTCGTATCTCCCTCGACACGTCTAACGCATGTGTATTCTATTAGTTTTTTTTATTATTTTTCGCCCCAAGATAGTAAACTTGAGGACATTGGCTCATTTTTCAACCGTACACACTTGCTTTAGAATCGTTATCTCTATGTTCTTTAAGTTCGTCTGTTATACAATATTTGTATACGGTTGAAATGTGTTTACTAAAATTAGCGCCACCTCAAAACTTTTTTATACTTCAATAAAAGGGAATCATGTGGATAAATCCTCCTTCCCTCCCCCCTCCCCCCTTCCTTCTATTTCTGTTGTTGGGTAGATGAGTATTTTCTGACAAAATAATGATAACTTAAAGTCAGTCACGACTCTTTTTCGTTGGTTATTTATGTGTGTCTGGGACAAAAATGTAATCAATATCCCATGCAACGTTTTTCATCCTTCCCTTTACGTGAATTTCGTTTCCAAAAGAGCGGAATATTACTTAAAGCTTTCCCAAAGTTCTCATTTATAACTTTTTGTTGAACGATTTTTAGCATATTTTTGTGTCATCCCATAACCCCCTTTTATCTCCGCCACAATGCCGAAAAATATGGGAAAGGGCGGTAAGTCCTTTAAGGCCGGTAATGCCAAAGGCAACATGCAGAACGACAAGCGCGATCTCATCTACGCCGATACCGAATCGGGTGAGGAATACGCCCAGGTGAAAAAGGCTTTAGGAAACCTGCGTTTGGAGCTTCAGCTCGCCGGCGGCACCACCGTCATCGGGGCTATTCGAGGTGCGATGGTGCGGAAGGTGTGGATTGGCCAGGGCGATGTAGTCTTAATCTCCAAGCGCTGCTTTAACGAGAACGACACCGTAGATATCATCCATCGCTACCGCCCCGTCGAGGTGCGGACGCTGGTGAAGGAGAACGCCATCCCGCGTGATTTCCGTCCCGCGGACGAGCGCGAAAACCACGGCCACCAGTACTACGTCTTCATCAACGACGAGGAAGAGCAGGGCAATGAGGATGAGGACGTGATCGACCGCAATGAGGTTGTGATGGATGATCCGTTGGCGGCGCTGGGCGACCTGTAAAGGAAGATTGTCAAGTTCTACAGACGGTACTTCACGACCGGTGAATAGATGTAGCACTTTTCAAAAAGGAATCCTTTTTGAAGCCTCGCTAATGATGTTTTGTTCTTTTCTTCACAAGTGTTTGTCGCCGATGCTCGTTTAGCAAGGCTAGTTTTTGATGTGGAAGAGGGTTTGAAGGGGTTGCTTTAATTCAAATAATTTATGGACTCATAAGTAAAATTGTTGGCAGTTTGTCTGAGTTATGTTTTAGTTCTTCTAAGGTGGTGACGCGATAAATGGAAATAATATTGAACCTAATTTTATCATTTCTGAGGTGTAATAGTTCAGGGCATTTCTTATGTCACCGGTTTATATCATATGAGACCAGGAGTAATGGTGACCTTTCACTATTCCCTTTCTATTATTGAAACAGTTGGAGTCTTTTTGCCTGAGATAAGAGTGGTGCATTGAAGGGATATTTCCATCTCATATATATATATTTATTTATTTATCGCTATCACATTGTTCATTTAATGCATAAAGCTGTCATACTACAAAAGATACTAATTTCTGGGCGCGGTCTTGCCTGGAACCTTTTATGTGGCGCTATTCTTCTGCGAGCCTGACCGATGCAGCGATGTGGGGAGTTTCCGCGAGGGTGTTGATCACCAGGCGCTATCTGCGTCGCCCACTTAGCCCGGACCGCACCTACAACGAAACTATCATGGACATTCAAAACACCTTTGTGTGGGAGAAAAAGCACATTTTTAGGCCTCATCAGCACTTCACCTACGACCCTGCGAGTTGGAGCCGGCCGCTCGCGGAGAAGGCGAAGCAAGCGCGCACGTTAAGCCTACTCGAACGCCTCAAGACCTTGGAGGAGCGTGCGGCCGAGGCGAGGTGTGGTGAGGAAAGTTCCGACAGGGTCGCAGTGGATACGCCGGTGGACATGGCCGAGGCTGGACCCTCGCCCTCTTCGGGGTTGGCCCCCAAGGGATTATTGGCATCTGCTCCGCTTTCCGACCTCCTGGATGAGGTTCTTCGGCTGAGCACAACTCTGAAGATGCCTCGCACGGCTCGTAATATGGGGATCCATCGCCAGGAAAAGCTGCGGCGGGAATTTCATCATGCCCTCCGCCAGCTCTTCGCTCGAGTCGAGCACGCGGTGGTCGACGAGACGATCACCCTCAACGCGCTCCTCTACACGTGGTTTGTCCTGATTCACGAGGTGGGCGAGCTGGTCCAGGGGCTCCTTCCGCCCCCTGCGGATGCGGATGGCCAAGAGGGGGAGGCTGCTCAGGGCGAGGCGGTGGCCATTCGGACGGTCTTCGACGCGCTGATGCGGACGCTTTTGACCCATGTGGTGGAGACCACCGCGATCGCGGCGCGGTGGGAGCAGGCGGAGCCCTCGCTCGAGGAGGGGATCGAGCTCATGGGGATTCTCCTGCACCCG